AATGTAATGTTAATTCTAATGAAAGGTTAACTCTTCATTAGCCTTAAGAAAATAAATACAGGTAAAACATGGACGACTAACCCTAGAAAGACCCACCTGAGGTTCTGGGTTGGTTCTCACTGGATATCCCGACTTTTCCACAGTCAATGCATCTCCCTCTCCAGTCTCCCTCTCGTTCTTTGCGACGAGTCTCCGACCACTTCAGTCGTCTCTTTAAGGACTCAACCTGCTCCCGGCACCGCGTTACCTCTTCCAAAAAACTGTCCTCCACCAACCGGGTGATCTCATACATAGCAGCTTTGAACACCGTTTCCATGACGCCAGAAAGCTGTGACTGAAACGTTAGTATAGTCTCCGCCATTATAACTGCGCTGTGGTTTAAAGTCTTTTTAATAAACGGAAAAGGAGGAGAAAAAAATGACTGGCAATTCAAAGCCTGTTGTTGTTGACTGGCTACAGCTAAAGTCGGTGTCTCTAAAGTAGATGTGTCCGTTTCTTACACGTGCTTTTTGTGTAGTTAATGATTTATGGATTGTATCGGTTGTCCGAGTTTACAGCTTGGTTGCTTTCACGAACCCTGCTGTTTAAACAAAGTGTCATGCTAACGTTAGCTGCAACTAGCTCGCTCCATTAGTTCTGATTTATGTTTAACGGATTCTGGACACTATTTAATTTGAAAAAACATAAGCTCGCTTGAGATTTTTGACATAAATGATCGCATTCTTTACATATCGTGTATTTAGAACTCAGGCTTAGTAGAAAAAGTAATTCCGTAGCTTAGCTTTACTCTTGCGTTATGACATTTCTCCCGATTCCGTAAACAACGACACTTCCGGTATCTAAATACGGGTCGTCGATTGGAACAATTTTCATGCTACGGAAGAAAGAAAAGAGAACTGGTTCCAGTGGGAAACGTTCTTAAAAAGCACTAAATGACAGTAGTGGGTGAAGAAGTATTGTCATATTAGGACAATGTTCCATAAATAAACAGTTTCACATCCAAATTAAACCTTTTTGTTGCTTCAGTTAAATCCCATTTTGCATCTTAAAGTTCACCTCTTTCACTTATGAGACAGGAAGTGAAACGTGTTTTCTCCGTGTAACGTGTGTGCTTTTTGTGTCATTTTTTAGACAACAAGTAGATTAAAAAGATAACTGTTTTAGCATATGAGCACGTGTTATGTGGGGCACAACCAGCCCATGAAAGGGTTCAGTTTGGCTTGATGAAAGGCAAAATTTGAAAATTGCAGTGCAGTCATTAATAAATAATTTTATTAATGTAAAAACGAGCGATAGTGACTACAGAGATGGTTCCTTAAACTAGTCAAAGAGGACATGCAGAGGCTGTGTGTGACAGAAGAGGATGCTACAGATACGATGAGATGGAGTCTAAGTAATGACTTATTTGGAAAATATTCTTTACGATTTTAAAGATCAGTTCATTCACTTTTGGAGGAAGAGGAGTAAGTAAAAGTCGATAAATCAATAAATAAAAGTAAATAAAAAAGCACATGGAATAAATTAAAGTTATGCATGAACTAAAACAAGTTCGACACCCCGGATATCTTAAACTTCCGATTAATCCTCCAATCCAGACGGTGGCGGTAATGCTCTTAAAAGCTGTTTACCAACTGCGGTTAAAGCAAAATCGACGAACAAGAAAGCATAATCTCAGCTCCAACGAAAAGATTGAGGTCTCTTGGTGTTGTGTGGGATTATACGACGGTAGTAATAATAATTCGGCGCCGACAGATTTCCTAGTTTATTTTTTGTTCACTGACTGAACTTCTTCAAAAAGCAAAGTTTGGCTTGAAGTGAAACACCGGATGCTTGCGTAAGTCAGTCATCCAATGTGCGTCACACAAAGCAGAGACCGCGTCCGTCCGTCCGTCCATGTGAAGAAGCCATGTTGGCGGAGCTTCTGACGGCGTGCCTTTAAAAAAACGCCAGAGTAAAGACACTCTTTCAGGTGGGCTCGTATCTGTATCCAGGAAGTACAGTACGACAAACAAGATGTCTTCGGACGATTTTCAGACGAAGTATGCCTCTTTCATGGAGAGCATGCTGAAGAGCGCTGTTGCAGAAACCACGAAACTTTACGAAACTATGGTTGACGAGCTGAAGGCAGAAATATGCAAAATCAAGAAGGAGAATGAGGACCTCAGAACAAAATGCAGCCAGTTTGAGAACGCGAAAAGCCAATCGGGCAGTTATCAAAGAGAAAAACAGCCTCTTCCTGGGCAAAGCAACGACTTCGAGAAATGCGACACAGCCGTGCAGTGTGGTGAGTTGCACAGCATGTTAGCCACCCCGAGCTAACTAATATTAAGTTATAACTGGCTTATGATGGTATGTGTTGTGTTTAGCTAACATTTTACGTGTATTCATGTTATCTGGAACACACTGAACATCATAGTTGTTAATGCTTGCTTCTCAGCATAGTCATCTTGAGCGTGGGATCCAAAATGGGAGGGAAACCATACTAGTTTCTCCATTTTTAGAGGACAGTGAACGTTGGTCCAAACTTCAAAAAATCGTCTCTTTATGGCTACATAGAGCTCAAAAACGTTTTGCATATATATGTATATATTTATAAGGAACTGAACAGATGCTCCATAATTATTCAAATGAAATCGAGCATTGGTATAACTGATTTGAGCTAAATTGACTGCTCCTTTACAGCTCAGACTCACCACTTCTATCTTTATATTGGTTTTTATCTATAAAATACAATTAGGATTAGCTAAAGGAAGCCAGAACCTCTTCTAAATTGGCCAATCAGCTCTTTATCCCCCCCCGAGTATATTTCTTTTTGTTCGTTCTGCTGTAGTTTACAGACCGTTACACATTACAAATTTTTTACGTCAGCATCCTGGTCGTGGACACCCATGTCACATGCAAACCTGTTTCTTATTCTGTTTGTAACTACGTTCACACTCAATGGTACTAAGGTTTTCCCACACAGGAAGCTGGTGAGGTGCGAATGAGGGGGCTGATAACGAACTGCAGTCTTCTAATGGCACTGGCATAGTGCCAGGCAAAACCACTAAGACGTGTATTTAAAAAAAAAAATTTAACTGAACTGAAATCTTATCAATGTATAGCTTTATTCCACACTTGTATTTAGATATTGATAAGTTGTGTAATAATTCTGAAACAGAAACTAGAATACAAAGGTCCATAAACTTGTATCACAGATGTTTTTGTGTACTCTAATGTAGTGTTTAAAGAGCATTCAAAACATCAGAATGTTTTTTTCCTTTAGAGAAGATGATTAAGACGAAGTATTAACCAAACAATTGTTTAAGAGAATTGCTGCCTCTCTGTTGTTGTTAGAATGTTTTGCAGAAATTAGAACCCTTTCTCACTAGTAGCTACTCAATGTGACTCGACTCTACTCGGTTACTGCCATTTTCTGTTATAATTGAGTTCCACCTAGTGTGCGTGGGGTCATTATAGCAGTGCGTCTGGAAGTCCCAGATTTGAATCTGCAACAACAGTATTAAGGTCTATACATAATGACTGTGTTGCGAAAAAAAATAAATGAAACTATGAATGCAAACTTGTTTAGACACTTGTGTAGAAGGGCAATACAGATTAATGAACATTTTAATAAATGTAAATATGCCAGATTATACCATTGGGCTGATTTTCATCTGCAGACCCTCTGGCAGGTTGGAGTTAAACAAAAGTTAGTAAAAACATACAGAGACACTATTTACAGATCATGTGGCAAGGACAAAAACAGTGATCACATTATATTAGAACAAACAATGACAAGAACAGGGGACACAGAGGACAGTATAGATGACAATAACAGAAACACATCAGTTATTAGGGCTGTGCGATATGACCAAAATCTCATATTCCGATATAAGAATTCTATCGTCCCGATAACGATATAAATCACAAAAACGTAACGTTTTCTGTCAATTCTATGGATCTCGGGCAGCTCGACTTGCGGGAAGTGTTTCCAGCTGCGCGTCA